CAGCGCCCGCGCGCGGCACCTGCGCGCGCGTCGGGTGTTTCTTTCCCGGCCGTGTCGACTTTGGCTGATTGGCGCGCGTCGGGTGTTTCTTTCCCGGCCGTGTCGACTTTGGCTGATTGGCGCGCGTCGGGTGTTTTTTTCCCGGCCGTGTCGAATTGAGGCGCCGCCTCTCGTCGGCGCATGCGAATTGAAGTTGAAGATTCCGCGCCGCCGCCCGCCCGCAGCGCGACGTTCGAGGCGACGCAGACGGCGAGCGCGACGGCGAGGGGCCACGTCGCCGGCGACGCGGAGAAAAAGAGGTCCCGGCTCCAGAAGAAGGGCCGCGCGCCCGTGTAGTGCGCGTCGCCCCAGGTCCAGAGCGCCAGCAGCGCGTGCGCGGGCGCGGCGACCGGCGCGATCTGCGCCGCGGTCCGCGCCAAATGCGCGCCGAGCCGCGGCGGCGGCCGCCGCTCCCGCAGCAGCGCCCACTTGTCGTGCGCGAGCATCAAAGCCAGCGTCAGCGCCGCGAGGGGCGGCAGCAGGGGCATGCCCGCGCCGAAGGTCGCGCCGACGAAGAAGACGCGCAATAAGTCCGCGCACCGCGCCGTCGGGTCCCAGGGCGGCGCGGCGACGTACTGCGCGAGCGGCGCGGCGACGTAGCGGTCGTAGCAGGGCCGCGCCTTCACGGGGAGGCAGCTCCGCAGGTCGAAGGCGCGGTCCTCGAGCTCGAGCGCCTCGTCGCCGCCGAGCGACGGCGCGCGCGCGACGCCCGGGTGGCCCCGGCGCCGCCAGAAGAAGGCGCGGACGCGGTAGAGCTCCCGGAGCGCGTCCGCGCGGAACGCGGCCCGCAGGAGCGCCCCCGCCGGCGGCGCCAGCGCCTCCCAGAGCAGCGTCGTCAGCAGGTAGACGCCCACGTCCGCGTACCAGCGGCTCAGCATCGCGCCCTCGGCGTGCTTCGACGCGCCGCGCCTGTGTGGAATTCAACCACTGGTTTGAGTGGTCCTGACCAAACTTCAGAATTCTCTAGCTCGATCAAATCGAAGTCGAATCGGCTGATTTTTGGACGAATCGATTGCTCTCGTCGAGTTCTCGAAGCACAGCCGAAGAGCTTGAGTCAAAACTGTCGCATATGCGCACATTGAAGTCGGGTTGAAGATTTGAATTCCACACAGCGCCCCGCCAGG